TACTGAATATTGCTCACAAGATAATGACAATAGCTTGTAAAGTTGGTGAGGCAATACCATTTGATGAGATGATACCCGCTATCCTGCCATCTTGCTTGGAACTCATTAAAGAGCTGTTAATAAAAAGAAGAAAATTGAAATTTTTGCAGCTTTTAAGCAAGGGGTTTTTATAAGAGTATAATTCCTGTATAGCTCATTATTTTACTAATGCTACCACAAAGTCATTTATTTCAAATACAGCAATGTAATTAACATTCGTGAGGGGTAAGTTAGAGCAGCAGACTATTCAAACCTATAAAGCAAACATTGTATCCCACCTGCACTCCTGGCTCAAGTATTAAGCAGTACAATTAATCTGCATTTGCTACTTAATGAGCTTCTAAAACACACATGTACTTAAAAATCTCGGTCATAACTCACAGCTTACTTGGACATTAGTCCACATCCCAGCTCTGCCACTGATTTGGGACAAGACTTAGTCAGGTTATTTAGCCTGTTATATTTGTTCCCCATGTCTGAAAGTGGATGATACTTCTCAGTCACCCCACAGGGATGTTACAAGACTGAATTTGCTCCAGTTTGCAAAGCTTTTTGCAGTCCTTGGCTTACTGTGTGGAACTGGAATGCAGTACACACGTGCCAAATACTCCTGCTATCCTACAGCAACCGGAGACAGATTTTTCACATCCCAGCTCTTTTACTCTGGGACAAACGGCTGCTGAGTCAAGTGGTGATGGGGCACACTGAGGACAAGGCAGACAAAATGCAAGCAGAAAAGCAAACAGTTACTCTAATGTTGCAGAAAAACAAAACTAAAACTCCCAGTAAAATCAGAGTCTCTGTAAACAAGAGAACAACATAACCGTTTCTCAGAAGAGTCTTTGACAAGCTGTTGTATTGATAGCTGATTCTGACAGCTGGCAACTGCAGAATATTAATGAAGCACTGGTACAAGAGCAGTCTGAACAGGTTGATCATGACTGACTGAAGTCTACGGTGCATGATATCAAGATACATTATTTGTCTGTAGCATTTGCTCTTAGTTTGACCTTGTTGCTTTCTTGCTGCTTTCTCTTTCTTTTTTTCCCTTTTTTTTCCTTCCTTTCTTTCCCTTCTTTCCTCCCTCCTTCCCTCCCTTTCTCTCTTTCTCTTTCATTAGTTCTCATTTGCCCAATTAAGTTCAAATGTGCTGAGACCTATACAGTAAAAAAAATTGCATATCAGATGTTTTAAAAGTGTCCTCTTGCCCTGTTTCTCTTATTTGTTAGTAGACACATGCAGCTCTTATTACAGTAAGCTATGTTCTTGTTCACTGCTTACATAAATGGGATTTATACAGGGGAACTAGAAGGAGCTTAGGAAAAAATCCTGGTGCACAGTCTGACTTGGGGTATGGAAAGGCTGAGCAACCTCTCTGTGTCTGACAGAGAGAAGGGAGATTGATGGCTTCACTCAGGACGTGCTTCAGTCACTATTCCCCTGCTGCTTCCCTGGGCGGAGGGCAGGCAGCGTTCCTCACCCACTGCTTGCCTATAAAAGCACAGGTATGAGCAGTGCTTGCTTGCTAGCTTTAAGCACATGATAGAATTCATATGACTGACTAAAAACACTGGTGACCTTTATTTACTCAAGTGCTGCTTTTTTTTCTTTTTTTCTTTTTTTTTTTTTTTGTGCCTGGTACCGTGTCCTTCACATGGACATCATCACACTTGCCTGTTTTTATGCTTTCTACCATATTTCTTTTTATTCTTCACAGCCCATAATAAGCTCTGAGAGCTCTGAAAAGGCATTTTGCTTGTCACTGCATCATTAGTCCCCCTTCTGCCTCTTCCCTTGTCAACATTTATATCCGCACATCTAAAATGCTGTTTTGTTTTGGTTGCTAATAGATTTTGCACTTGTCCGTATAGTACTTATACTACCCAAATCTTACTAGTTAGGCTTAGATTAGAGCTAGGTATATTAATGTGCTAGACTGCTTTAGGAGGAGTTCAGTTTCAGGGATATTAAGTGCAGATTTTACAGGAGAAAGTTGCTTTAGTTCCTGAGCAGGTATGGGATGTTTGAGATGACGGATTTAATGTTTCTGACACAATGGATACTTTTTTCCTTTTGGTGCAAACATGTATTTATTATTTTTTTCCTTTTCACCTTTTACTAACTGGAGCTAAAATTGGCTGTCACGATCATAAAGGAACATCAGGGAAGCTATTATTAACTCTACTCTGTGGGATAAAGGGGAGGTGTGAGATACAATGATCCAGGCTCTTCTTTGTGACAGTGTAAAGTCTAGCGGAGGTTAGCAGACAGCCTTTTACTGCAGCAGCGCTACAAGCTGGCCACGCAGTGGGCTTTGCAGCAGTTTGCCTCTAGGCTGAGGCATAGGAGCAGCCAATGCCCCTTTGCTCGTCTCCTTTATGCCCCCTTAGTTTACTGTGAAGCTTTTGAAGGGAGGAAAGCACTGAACTGTCAGAGCCTGTTCTGCAGCCCTAAAGGGGTGGATATAACAGGATCTTTCGAAAGCGCCGGTGCCTTAGTGACGTTCAGGAACCTTCAGCATTCTTCTGACTAATGTGGTGGCAGTGATTTTTCAAAGGAGTTGTGTATTATTTTAGGAAAAGAGTGCTTCCTCAATAAATTGATAATCCCTTTCCATTTTTATGGAGAGCAATCCCTTGATGTTGTGTGGCATTACTAAAATTTATAATAGAGATAGAAGTGTTGTCATGTGAATATGAAATATGAAAACAAATATGCTCAAACCTTTGAAGTGTAAGAAAACAATAGTTAACCTTTTTTTAGGAAATAACCAAAAGTTTTCTCAGATGAGCGGAACAACAGCTTTCTAGGACAGATAGCAAACTCTGTTGTTTACTGTCACTCAATTCACAGGAATAGAGTTCTGCTTTTCATGGCAATTTGCGGTTTTGTGCTTTTGGAGGCAACTGATCATCACTATGTGTGTTACAAGTTACAATGGGCTTTCTGAGATACTCTTCCTTCTAATGGGTCCTGATTCAGCAAAAACAAACTGGTATTTAACTGCTTTGCCAAAGTTAAGTCTCAGCAAGCAGAATCGTCTCTACTTGTCCAACTTCTTCTAGTGGCAAGCCCAGGTTTTCCTCACTGATGTATGTCAGTGGACTAATATTAAGCTGAGACTAGGATAAGCAGAAACAAAGTACATGTCAGAGGTTCTTTCTGGACATGTGTATAAAAAGATTTGTATGCTCTGTGTACAGAGCAATAGATACCTATTGCTGCCAGCAGCAAATCTGTATGATATGATGCAGAAGCCAAACTACCTGGGCTTTTGCAACCTTTGCATAGAAGCCAGATGTTTTAGTGGTTGATTTAGCTTCCCCCAGAGGTCTGCCAATATCAGGGTGGTGTCTACAATCAGCTTCGGTAAAGTGGAGAACAGAAGTACAGTGCGTTTCTATCACAGGGCTAGCCTAGTGATAGATAATCTTAAAAGCAACACTTTGCTGGTTTTGTGGCATATATTGCATGCAGTGCTACATGGCGCTTACCCCAAAAGTACTCCAGGCACTATCCTGAGAGATTAATATAAGCTGACACAGTTCGGTTTTTAGTTTTCATTAAGGTAATCATATTACTCCCACTGCTAATGCAGTTTGCTGTGCGAAATTGGAATATGCCATAAGTGGCACAGATTTCTTTCACACAGAGACTTGCTGGTAATCATAAGCATAACAGCAACCTACACACTGTTATCATCTACAGCTTTCGATACTGGTATGGCAGGAGACCAATCAAGAGTAATAAGTTGCCTAAATGCCCAAGAAAGAAACAGGAAGGAGGAATTTTCAGTTCATGCTGTCTGTGTAGGCTGGATTACACAGAAGAAAACACAGTGGACTCCAGCTCTGTGTTTAATAATAAAAGGATTTGATAGTGGAAAAATCTCAGAACTACAAAATGGATTCTCGCTACTACATGTTTTCTAAAAAGGTTATGCAGAATGTAGAAAGCTTGGGGGCTTAGATATCAGGGTGATAATAACAGTATGAAATTTATTTCAGGCCTTAGGAGTTTTATGTGGACTACCTGTGATTTCTTGAGGTGCCTGAGTGTGTTGGTTGCATCTCTCAGAACCTCTATAAGATACCACTCTGGTGGCATCTATTGTGGTAAATTCTAAATTAGAGAACAGCTGTGGAAAGTTTGTGAGGTTTTTAGTGAAAGACTTCCTGATGTCTTCTGACATGTGGAAACAGAGCAAAAATAGTACCATCAAGCTCCACCTTGTTCCTGCAAGTAATAGCAACATCAACTAATGTGAAGGTGAAAATTTTAAAAGTAAGAGTACAATATGGAATTGTAATATGTTGTATTTATTTTATGGATACACAGGGATTTTTAAATCTCTGCTTAGAACCCACTTTTTAGATGTTCTCATGAGATAAGCAAGAGATATCAACAATGGTCAAAAATTGGATAATGACAGCATATGATAAAAAACCGTGTCATGAAAATATGCCTTGCTGTCGTTGCTGATGATTTTACTGAGGTACCGATAAATGTTGCTAACACAATGGCATTTAGTGATAATTTACTGTAACTTTTTTCCATTGTTTCCTATAAGTCCAATTTCCAGGTTTTTTTTTCTGTTTCATTCCTGTGCTAAATCCACACTGTAGATAGTAGAGCTACGTAAATTAACCCACACAGACACGTCACTTTCCAGTAAGTGACTAATTGCAAATACTACTTCAGTGACTGAGATCAGTGATTTGTAACAGTTGCCACATACTGAATAGGATATTGCAAATATTCTTGCCACAAGTTTTTTTGCAGAACAGATTTTGCTTCTAAAAACAGGTACTCGCATTCCATGGTCCCATGAAAGCTGGATATTGGTCTCTGCTCTGAGGATTCTTTATAATCCCCGCAGATGATGATTGAATACTGCAGTTTGATAAAGAAAAAAGGAAAAATGTTTGAAACCTTGTTTCTTCTCTTCTTTTCCAGCCTAGTTGGAGAAGAGACAGAGGCCAAAAATGCCACCGGCAACAGCAGCGCCACAGTACCCACCTCCAGATGGAGGTTGGGGATGGGTTGTGGTCTTTGGGGCTTTTATCTCCATTGGCTTTTCCTATGCATTCCCCAAAGCCATCACAGTATTCTTCAAAGAAATACAAGAAATCTTCCACACATCATATAGTGAGATAGCTTGGATATCATCGATAATGTTGGCTGTCATGTATGCAGGAGGTAAGACATTTGTGAAATTTGCAAATATCGTAGTTTGTTTTTTTTTTCTATGATCTTAAAGCATTTAAAGTTAATTACTACCTGATTTTATCATTATTACCTAAAGAATTTACCAAAATACATGCTGCTTTTTGTATCATACTTTATCAGAGAGTACTGGTAGCCACATCATCATTAAAACAGTTTACTTTCTCTTTTAAAACATTTTATATTCTCTTCCTTTTTGTTTTCCCCTTAGGGCCTTTTGTTTGTTCCTCTACCTAATTCTATTTTGCGATTTTGACCTAAATTCAGTTTCTGAAAGTCACATTTTCCAACAAAGCAAAGCCCAAGTAACATCTTCTGGGACGGGGGTACATTTGCTGGGTTTCCACTGCCTCGGTGAAATCTCTCAGTAGATCAGATGATGGAGCTTAAACACAGAAAATTATTATGGCAAGAGGGTTCATTAGTCAGGCACAGGTATTCCTCTGTAGATAGGGGGTTTATATCTTGTCCTAAAATAAAATCCTACTTTCCATTTAGGCCAAGAGCCATGTTTCATACATACCATCTGTATGACAGCTAAGATACTGACGATCTTATTCTTGGGACTGAAATGAACAGTGAACATAAATTCTCTGATACCTTTTTTCTTGTGAGCAAGCAAGTAAAGAACAAGACAGATGAAAAAGGATTTTAAAGTATAAAGCCATGTTTAAGTACTAAGTGTCAAATCTGCTTTGGCAGGTTTTGTGTCTATCAACCTAAAAGACTAACTGTTAAATTCTGTTTGATTTCTTCATTCTTTCAGAATTTTTTTTTTAAGTATTGGTGGGAGCTAGCTGCTACTTAGGCAAAGCACTTTTTCAAGCAGTCCAGAGGTTCAAATAAGAGGTTATTTCAGGCAATAGATCTGGCATTTCCCTTTCTTTGGATGTTATGAGGTAACCACTTGGAACATCTCAGACTGTTTGCAATGATCGAGCAATTAAATGCATACATTTATATATATGTGTGTCTCTATGTATATGTATATATATACAAATGTATATACATAGAAACTGAAAACATTGTGCCAATAGCACATTGAGATTCAATATCTTTAATCACTGAAGAGCATCACTCCAGTATTTTTCAGAAGTGGTATCTGTGTAATAGTAAAGTTTGGTATTATCAGGTCCAGTAAACAACCTATTGAAGGAAGCATGAAGTCTTGTTTTTAGCATGGTAATTTTTTATCTCTGATTTCAACCTACCTAAGTTTTTGACACCTGACTGACCCTAGCTCCTTTAGGAGTCAGGGAAGAGAGGTAGGTACCTACAGAGAGGAATTCAGGCTACTTGTTTTTCCCCTATGGCTACAAAAATGAACCTGCAGCCAGCATAGCATTAGCTTAAGCACCTCAGGTAAATATTTTTCAGTTAATGGGATGGAAAAATAGATCCTTTTTTCAAATGCTGGCAGAGACAGAGACCTTATAAAGACGTGTTGACAAGTGGTGTCAGTATCAACAAAAGCTTGCTGTTCAGATATTTTGATCCCATTTTTATTCATATACTCGTAGAGAATCATAAATTATTCATATACTAGTAGAGAATCATAAAGGATTTTATGGGACCAGCAATAATAACCAAGTGATTCACCAAAGTTCACCAGGTGAAGAAGTAACTTGAACTAATGCAATCAAGAGTGGAATAAAAGAGCAGGTATGTCCCGTCACATTCAGGTCCTCTCTAATGTAGTTGCTTCTTAAGGATGCATCAGCACTTGCACTGTGGAGTGTGCATGTGTAACTGTAGAGGCCCCTGAAGAAGTGCTGGACCCATCTGGAACAAGGGAAGAGCACAGATGGTGAAAAGCTGGAGTTTGTTTTTGCTTTGCCTGTGCTGTGACTTTTGACCTGGACTCTTTTTCACCACGTTTTCTAATCAGCTAAATTTTCTAAGGGCAGATTTGCTTTATAGGGCAGGTGCTGTTCTTTTGTTTTAATCTTTGAATAACATGTAATTTATGCCGTTCCTGTCATCTCAAAGTTCACCCAAGTTTTATTAACAGTACAGACACAAATCACAGGATGTTTAGCTGTGGTCATTTTTATCTGCGAGGTTCAATGTGCACAACTTTTCATGTAAAATATAAAGCATTCAGTTCTTCTGCCTTTTCTCTGCTACTTCTTTTATTGTTCTGAGTACCAGCATACTAACTTCACCTGTACATTGACATGAAAAATTATAAATTGGTTTACTATTCGTTCTGCTAACACCTACGCCGGTCACTGTGAAGATTATCAGCACAGGAACAGTAGGCAAAGTTGTTTGGATATCTTGTTACAGACTCATGGTTTTAAAATGCTGAGAATGACGACCCTGCCTGATATAAACACTCTTTGAAGCCATAGCTTCTCTAGAACTACTTCCTAAAAAATAGGCCATGTAGACAATCACTGGCAGAATATGAAATAGCAATCAGGAAAAACATTTCTGAAGGAAATCACTCCATTGTTTTTACTGTCTGAAGGTGGTTTGATTCCTTAGCATTTGATGTGCTGTAATGTGAAATACACGTTCAGACCATGAGTACAAGGTGTATTGTTTACTATGAAGTGTGATACGTACGGCTGCGATGAACACTCTGTTCATCATACTACTAATTAAGGTAACCTGAAAACATCTAAGATCTGTCATCCTCATTAGAGCTTAGCATTCAACCTATTAATCATCACAGTGGGGTCAGTGAATAAGTTAGAGTCTGTGCAGACACTCTTTGCTTTGGAGGCTGCAGCCTCTTGCAGTAATTAGCTGGCATCTGTGTTTCAGTAACAAGGTATTAACTTACCTTTCAATGCCTGAGGAAAAAAAAAAAAGAAACTAATAAAAGGCATCCAGTAAGGAGCTAAAAGAATGTTAATTATATTTATCACTTACTTCATACTTAGAATAAATGGCATTAAATTATAGCAGACCATCTGGCAATCCATATGGTCTCCTGCAGTCCTGGTTAATTCCAGCAAATAGGTCAAGCACAGCATTCACCCCGTTAGGAAAGCACTAAGCAGAGGTGACAAATCTGACGAATCAAATCAATATGAAACTCTTTTCCCCTCTCAATCTGGCATAATATGCACTTTCATACTGGTTTTTATTGGTTTGGGGGTTTGTTTGTTTGTTTGTTTTCTTAAGCTTTTTCT